TTATTTTAATATTTGTCCAAGTTAAAATATATGTTTATCAAATAAAGTCTAATGTTGCAACTAATTTCTTTAATTTCTTCATCAATTTTAACAACAATAGAACTAAACAGATGGCTTTAGACATACAAACTGATTGACAAACATATAGAAATTTGCAAATGTACCATGTCTGTTTAGCCATGTCCAGTTGGTATGCTCTGGTCAGCTCATCCAAATGGGCTTGGAGCATTGGCTGCATCTCATCTCGAGGCGAGGGGGTGAGGGTCACTGTGGACTGCTGCCCAAAGGACATGGCAGCTGGGGAGGAGGCAACCCCTCGGATGGGTGGGGTGGGAACCCTTTCCTCCTCTTCCTCTAGCTCATCTTCCATGCCCTGGTGAAGGTATGTCTGCACAGGCATGGGTGGACCCCAAGTGTCACTCTCGTACCTGTGGAAAAAAAGTGCAACTTTACTGTAGGATCACAGCTGATTATGTTTATTTTCTAAATTAACCAATCCAACTATTTAGCTGTTGAAAGAGAACATTTTCTGTACTCAAAGAGCTTTGTGACCTTATCCAGTGTCTGTAAAAAAAACAAAAAACAAAACTTGTCATATGTCAGTCCTGCCAGGCCTCACTTTTGCGTGGTTGTGCTTATACATGCTGAAATAATATTAGCCATAAAAATAATGTTCATTAAATAAATTTGCTGGTGCACACTCCATAGAACATAACTGTTTTAATCGGCCACCATTATGAGCAGCCTGAGATTTACAGTGCAAGGGACTCTTCATTTGCCAGATAGCCTATTAAAGCAGATGACTCTCCCAGACTGGAAATGGGGGTAAGAGGACATATCACCCCCTGCACCAAAGACAGGGACACTCAGAATCACTTAAGTGAGCATCTGTTAGTACATACTTAAAGTGTTTGAGCTTTTATTAGATTCACTACACTGATTGGATTATTGAAATGTATCGGGTGAAAATTTACTTCAAAAACGCCTTTGCATTGTTTGGTATATTCAGTCTTTGTGACAAAACTTTATAAAGATTATATGTATTGTGGAATTTAAAAAAATCCTATTTAATTTATTTTCTAGTTTTTGTAATCACTCAAAAAGAAAAAAAAACACTTTCTCTGTATGAAATTTAGATTTGAATTAAAACGGAATAAGAAAGAATTAAAGAAAGAACAAAGATAAAAAATTGTCACATTGTTCATAACATAATTTTCTTTAAGAAATTTTTTTACAAAGTTGGTTGAACCACAAAAACACTGACAAGTACTAAATTACATTTCTAATGCATTAGGTCTTTAGTTTACGACTAATTTTGTGAGGTGCACAAGTCTCAAGATTCTGTATAATACAGTTTTAATTTGTAAAAAAATTAAGCAGAAATAACCTAAAACTGACAAAAATGTTCAAAAAATTCTCCACATGTTGTAGCTGTTATTTTTGGAACAATCTGTGTGCGTGTTTGTTGACATACCCTCCTCCGTCATGGTGCTCGGTGGGATAAAGATCCATCTCAGTGCCAGGCAGAGGGTGACTAGGGGGAGGGGGCAGGGGTACATTGGCCCAATTGGACCCATTAGCTTTAGCAGGTTTCGAACCGGCCTTCGTTTTCTTCTTCTTTCCTCCCTTTCCACCTACAACAGGAGATCATTCATTTAGGAGACACGTCCACTGTAAATTAGATTTCATCAGAAAATCAATTAAAATCTAATGTACGAGTGGGATAGCATGGCAAATAACAGTCGCTGCTTTTGTCATGTGACAAATGTGCATTCTAAAGAAACTCAATTTGGTGCAAACATGCTGCTTAGATTACAAATCCATTTGCACTCACTTTCAGCACACCACTGGAAAGTCATACACAATTTCAAACAGAAGATTTCTATGGGCTCTGACTTGTCACTGCTTGCATAGAAAAGCTCAAGGTTGCCTGATGAAAAGCACGCTTCTATTGATTGATCGGCTGAAAAGCCTCAAATCTCCATAGAAACAGAGGAGAACAGCAGTTAACGTGGCTGAGGCAGACCTTTGCGCCCCACCCATCCCTCAGTGTCCCCTTTAACACCAGGCTTTGGGTTCCACAATGAAATATCTCACTTCACAGCATCATTATAATGAATGGCTTGTGTAGTGTCAGTATGTTCCTAATGGAATTCACTGAGAGTCTATTACTACTTTCATTTCTTTTATTACACTGGAGAGCCACTAACCCCATTTCCACTCATAACCCTCCAACACCAAATTCTCCTTTGTCACATCCATCTTTATAAATCTGCCAGCCAGGTCAATACTAAGTTTTATATGATTTGGTCACAGCGGAAGAAACACTTTTGTTTTCGTTAAGACATTTGACTTCCATCTCCAATTTATATTTAAGTTCAGGTATTCACAAAATATAAACTTAGAATAAAACATGGTACTATTTGTTTATTATCATCAGATCATATAGTAATTTTAATTTCAGTTATACCGCTGTTGTAATTTTGTGTTTGCTGGTTTAAGTGAAATCTCTGCAAGTGACAAATTCTAAAAAGCTGGTAGCAAAGTGTGAACATGTGCAGCTCCATTGTATAAGTGGCACCTGCTAACAAAACCAACATACTTGAGATGCTCCAGCGCCACATGTCTTAATATTGGACAGTATTACCATTTATAATTAGTCATGCACTGCCTAATAAGGACTTGAAATTGACATTTTAAATGCAATTCATTTTTTTTTTTACAATTTTATGTCAAAATGCTCAAAATGTTTTCTATTAAATCAGTTTTATTTTTATTTTTATTTTTGGTGTGGTGAGTGGATTGGGGGGTATTATGTATTTTCCAGGCACATAGTTCAATTGTATAATAAAATCGTGTAGCTATGTTACCTTCAGTTATTATGAATATGATGTATATATCAAAAAATAATCGGACTTTGCATCATAGCCTAATCTACAGGAATCTAAATGTTTTCACAACAACGCTTCAGGGAAGGGGGCTCTGTGGGGCGGGAGCTCAGCTGCAGATTGAGCTCCAGGGAGGAGCTTTGTGCAAATAGATGGAGCTTTGTACCAGCAAACATTCAGGCAGCTTCACCACAGGAAATTCAAGGATTTCTTAAGCGTGTATGAATGAGTTAAAGTAACACTCTGGGTATGTTTTTGATGATGGAATGAAATTGTAAGAATATTTCATATTCGTTAACTGAAATCATGACAAAACCACATAAATAGTGAATAGATTAAAATGTGAAGAGCATTGGAACCACACAACCCCAGATCTGGTTACGAGCGAGCTTTAATGCTTACGATGAAGCCATCAGAGCAGCGCTGCCTGAAACCGGAAGTTCCGGTCTTTTAATACAGGGTTCTTCAGTGCCTGGTATGCCCACTACAGGACTACGGCTGAATTGCAGGCAACTCGTATAGAAAATATCTTTTCCGATGAATTTATAACAGTATTTCTATGTGTTATCATGATGTTTTGGACATGTACCTAAAACTATTTTAATCAGGACATTATAGAGCTGGGCGGTATAACCCAAATTTTATATCACGATATTGTCAACAATTACACCAGTTTCATGGTATTTGACAGTATGTTTTTCCCTCACAGGTCAGCTGATAATAAAATGTACAAACTTTATTGACTTTTTTCTTTTATCACTGTTTCTCTCCTCTTGTATGTCTTTTCTTCTTTGCCTGGTTGTAGACAGTAATCATGCATTTTGGTCCGATCGTGAAGGGTTGAGAAAAAAATCATTATCTGGTCTATCGTTATGTCTTATTAAAACACGTTAATAAAATAAGGATGACTCACCTTGCACACCAGTCAACTCTGCTAAACTACAAAGCTACTTCCCCCTGGGCTTTTCACAATAAAAGCATGCTAGAGTCTCCATGCAATAACGTCTCCGTTATAACGTAGCGAGTTAAATCTACTGGTAACCGTGCATGTCACTGAAGAGTTGTTTACTATTCAGCGATGGTGAAAATGGGATGTTTTTTTAACGTTAGACCATATAAGTGGCTGAAACACACTACCTGCCGCCAGTTGTTCCAACAATAATGTTAGCATGCTAATGCGCTTAGCGGTGCTGCAACAAAATGTGTCCCCTGGGAAAACAGCTCACTGGCGGCTGCGACGAAACGTTCCGCATGTGTTCAGGCTATACCGGTATTCAGAAAAGTCATATCATAACAAAAATAAAATCCGATTTTCGGTACAAAACGGTATACCACCCAGCACTAGGACATTACAATAGTCAAACAACAGATTATAAAAGTCAAGCCTTAAAAAGGAAACTAAGACAAATGAAAAATCAGTATCTAACTAATAAATTCCTTCAAAGTTATAATATGATATAATTTTCGAAAAAGTCAATTTTGTAAGCCCCCCACTCCAACCCCTTCACATAATATTGGAAAATTTTACTCCTCGCTTGAATTTATTTTGCATTAGACATCAATAGCTATGTTGTGTAACTTTGTGCAGCATTATCCTGTACATGATTTAGTATTCAGTTTAAGGTATGAATGATTGCTAAAGCTTGCCAGAAATTTTCACATATGGCAACATAGTATTTGAACATGGTCTATCAATTTGTAGACAATGAACTGCTTCCAGAAAATATTTCAGGCCGGCGCCACCAGCTACACTGAGCCATCTTTGGGGATCCCTGCTGAGCATATTCTATCTGTCATGTGTCGGGGTTTGTTTTTTGCTGCCAAAGGCCTGCAATCACGTATCCCAACGATCTAAAAAAGGCACCATTATTTCATCGTGAAGTTTAATGTAATGTGATAAAGTAACCTGGCACAGACACAATACAATGTACATCACTGTCATCAAAAGAAATTTACAGATGCAGTGAACTACATTTCTATTGATTTTCATGAAAGCCAGAGAGCAGAGACACAAGTAAAATGTACAGTCTGGTAGAAGTCTAAAAAAACCTCTTCACTTTCTTTAGCCTGCAAGAAAAACACAAAATAATTTCAACAGGGAACACACAAAAAAAAAAGGTGCAGAAGGGAAAAAAATTGCTGGCTTGAGTGGATAGAGGTGGTGTCAGAATGAGATTAACAAAGAAAGGAAGTAATAAAAGAAACAACTGTAAGCCCAAGGCAGAAGGCACCACAGTGTAAGTATAATCTGAAAGTAATTGGGTTTTCTAATCGCGCCTCTGGGCGATGCTTGACTTTTCCTAGTAAATGGTGAGATGACGTGATTGTTCAGTCATCCCTAGTTCCTCCACACAAGACCAGCCATCAATATTGTAAATGAGCCTCTCCTTGGGAAGGATGGTCTGGCGGTGGAATTGCAACAGCTCAACCCAAATATGAAATATAGACAAGTTGTGGCTAGAAGCTATACAGGAATTACACAGCACACTCATGTCTTTTTATAAAAACGCATCTCTCTTCAAAGGGGAGCTGATGCTAAACATAGGCTCAGCTTTGGGCATTTATACCCAAGGTTTTGGGCGCTCCCAGCCTGTAACTGCAGGGCTGCACAGCCTTGAGCTTGCTTTGTTTTCAGAGTGCTACAGCACTGAGGGGAAAAGCCACAGAGCAGATATTCTACAAAAACTACACAGCCACCTATTACTTATGAGCAGGGCATAAGCCTTATATTGTGTGTATTTGTTTTAAAACAATATAAGCTATTTCATAATGAGGTGGGATGCTGCATATACGTGGAGTGCAGGAGCATAATATTCATCTAAGGTCTAAACATGACCATGAACATTGCAACTTCAGAGACAGGCTGGGTGAGAGTGTAGAGGAGCAATAAGTCTTCAGGGTCTTGATCCGCTACAGAAAACACCAGATACCTCTCCTACCCTCCACCAAGTAACGTTTTAATGAGCAGCTTCATGTCCCCGGTGGAAATCCATGCTGTCATGAAAGCTGCTCTATTTCTGTTGCTTTTCATCCTCCTCTCCTCCTTCAGACCTGGCATTCATTATTCCTTCCATCTCCTCCGAGGGTGAGAAAAGCACTATAACTTCCACTCCCTCTCTTCTTCAAATGCTGACTTGACTTTGGTGGAAGCCTGTATCAAAGTGTTGCTTGTGCTAATTCAAATTCCCATCACTATTGCCACTTACACCACACAGTATATCTCAAGTTCATTAATTTGGCTGGGTAACAACAACTATATGTTTCAGTACAACATGTTTAGCTCTGAAAACAGGTTACCTAAGCCTGGAAATGATACAGTATGGACATGTAAGTGTAAGTTTTACTGAACGATTCTATTACCCAAAGCCGTTTATTCAACTCTACAATGTTGGTGGAGGAGCTTCATGTTTCATGTTTCATTTTTTTTTCATAATTTTCCATATAGTAATTAGCAAAATTAAGATTTGTTTGGGGGGAAACAGTTTTTTTTCCTTCCAAGAGTTAAAATGGAACCGTGTATAATTTTGTCAAGCCAAACCTTCAGCTATCGTCTTAATGTAAAATTTTAAAACATGAAGACAAAAAAGTGAGCCTACTATGAGGTTTTAATTCTATCTGCCAACTTCTTTATTAACTCGTTATTCCCTTGGCAATTTAATAAGTGTAACAAAAAATACAAATTAACAAGTAGTTTTATGAAGATACCGATGTTTGCAAATAATACTATTGCTATATTCTTGGCAAGGACATAAAAAAACATTTTTTTTCTATTGCTATAAATCCTTGGAAATATCTTACATTTATTGTTAAGTAAAAATAAGCTGTATTTTTAAATTATATTCAAATTATGTCATTATAAAAGAGAACATCCTAAACCGAGCTGCCACCCTCTATAACCTGCCCATATTTATAAAGATTCTGCCTGCAAGACATGACCACTTCACATCCTTCTCTCTGGCCCACGTGTGGCAGAGCATTGAATTAGAGACCAGTTAGGGCAGTGGCTTGTAACTAGATAAAAGAGGAGAGTGGAAGGGAGGCAAGCAGAGGGCTGCCTCGGTGTCCTATAAATGACATTGTAATTCTCTGTACATGGGTTTTAGCGTAGTCCTCCACCATTTGGGGAAGCAGGGAAAAGGGAGGTATTTTTGCCACTTTATCCACTCAAGCATCCCTAATGGTGTCTGTGGATATAGTCCACTCTGTCTGAAAGACTCCCTCTGCCCCTACTTCTGTCTGCTCACTCACACAGTGAGAGACAAAGCCATCAGAAAGATCTGCAGCGGTGGCAGAAACTCAGCTTTAACACTTCCAGCCACATTCTGTCAAGAGAATGTGCTAGCATTTCTCTCTGCTCCGATAGGCTGTCAGCTGCTGTCATAGTATATCCCAACACTGCAACGTACACTAGAAACAAACACAAAGAACCAATCATAACTGAAAACACAAAACAACACAGCAAACACATACAGTCCAATTAACGGGAAGCAACGAGGGCAACTGTGTGAACAAAGCAGCTTCAGTGAAGGAGGGGGGGAGAGGTGTTTAGGAAAATGTCTTAGATGTCAAGTTTGCACATGCAAATAAACAATCAATAAAGCAATTAAGACATCGGTCAATCATAAAGATGGGTTGGGGAGCAGAGCGTCCCAGACTGCTTTATTCTCTGCTGCGTAAACCAACCTGAGAGACTGCCGCTTCGCTCTGAGCTGTTGTGAGAGCTGGTGGTGCTGAAATCTTGTGATTGGTTGTGTGGGATTCTATTAGCCAATCCGTCGGCCAATCGGTAGTCAGGAATGAAAAGGAGGGCTACAGTGGAGGTTAAAGGGCAAAAATCACAGTGGCATCAGGTGATTGGCAGTTAGCACAAGCACATGCAAACATGCAGTTAGAGCAGAAAGCAAGCGGGATAAATTTGGGATACATACACTCGAACAACACTTTTTTTTCCACAATCCAATCACTCTTATTTGTGAGCAATGGTCAGCACAGAGCTGATCCAATTGTATATTTGAAGAAAAAATGCTCCCAGTTTTTTCCTTGACTTTTAGTATATTCATGGAATGGGATCAGGCAGTCAGAGATTTATTTTAATATTTGTCCAAGTTAAAATATATGTAATTATTCATGTTCATAAAAACAATGAATAAAAAAAACAAGTTAATAATGCTAGAAAATGAGATTTCAGAAATTTCAGGATATCCTACCTTTAATTAATTGTAAATAATCTCATTATTTGTAGATAGAAGAATAATTGGCAATCATGCTGAAACTCAGGGAGGAACAGATTCATGAGAACTCAGCTGGAACTGAATAAATGACTTAGTTGTACGCCTTTTCATTGGATTTAATTCAACTTTGAAGTGAAACCAATAACGAGTGCTGGCAATAAATAAATAAACAAACAACTAAATAAAGTGCATCCCCCCACTGAGGTTAGGAAGGCCTCATAGAGTTTTAGAACAACCGTTTAAACACCAAATGGCTGTTTTGTAACCGCTGTAAAACTTTAACTACTTTGAATCGCTCACAAAAAAATAACGCTTTGGAATTTAATGGTACATGAAAATGACTCAACTTCACACATCATCAAAATCTATGCTGAAGGACAACTTTATTACCACGACAGCGCGCTTTCTCAGTGTGACTTACTGTTGTTGCAGGAGTTTTTGTCGGGCAGGGAGTAGCCCAGGTTGGCCATTTCCTGTTTGGCCTGCAGCGAGGCCTTCCACTGTGCATCAGGCAGGTCCACAGCCAGCTCATGAATACTGCTGGAGTGGAGAATCTGAGTGGTGGCATATGGCGTGGCTTGGGATGCTTGTCCAGGGCTGTTGTAGCTGGTTTTGGTGGTGAAGTCTATGCTGCTGTAGATGGCTCCATCAGAAAGCATGGTGCCGGTCTTATCCCCTTGTCCAGTGGGAAGATCTGGGGGGAAAAAGTTGGTGTACTTACAGAAAGGCAATTTCAGAAATTCTTCATGTAAAGTCTTAAAAAAAACACCAGAGAAGCTGTCGTCAAAATGGGAACAAGTTAAACATTCTTTTGTTAATCACAATCTAATAAAACAAAAACATAAATAGTTCTTAAACCTTTTACCAAATTTATAGCTGGCGTCAAATATGTCATTGATGAAGAAAATACTTTAAAAATACTAATGAATCTCTCTTTTTGACACTTTACGTGTTGTTTATCACTGTCAGTTAGAGCTTAAAGATGGGTTGGGCAATATTGGCAAAAAATAATCACGATTAATTGTGGTATTTAGCCGATAACGATTAATTTGACACTTAATCCCCTGGAGTCCCTGGACACCCTTATGTCCTAGTCACATGACCAATTTAGTGGGAAAGATTTGTTCTTTATAAAAATCTGTTCCAAATTGTGTCAAAATTACAGACTTCAGGCTGTACATCAAATTTAAATTGTGTTAATGGATAAATAAATTACAGAACATTTTTTTAAAATATTCATCATATTTGAAGCAGAGAGGAGCACCGAGCGGTCAGTCCGCCTGGTGGCATTAATCGTATTAATCGTGAGGTGCCAAAAAATAATCGATTAATATTTTTCTGACGATTAATTGCACACGATACGATTATGCCCAACCCTAGCTTAAAGTAGACATATGCTTTTAAATTCCTCCTTTGCACATTTAAATCATTCAGTTGGGGTCTTTACAAAGTGGAACTACAATGCTTTGGTCTGAATTCCTTCTTATTCGGACTTCGCCAGCTCCTCTTTCACACCATTTCTGCTGTGTGTCTCAAAGCAGCTGGATTCCATACTGCTCCTTTAAGATGCTTCAAGCCCCGCCCCTCTCTGGCTTCCAGACCGGTCCACTCCGGTCTGATGCTGCATTCCAGTAGTCCTGGGAAGTGGTAATTTCCCTGTTCCCATTGGTAGATTTAAACTGGAACGCCCCTCCAGTGGTAACATTCCACTGGTATAGTGGAAGAAATGAAACTGCCCCCAGTTTCGATTTCAAGGTGGCGGCTACTCGTAGCTTTAGAAAGTCAACTTCGTAACTTTTACTGTTAATTATCTTTCTTAAATTTTTTGTGCATGTTTAATCACTCACACAAGTTGTGTTTTCTGTGCAATACTGTACATATTAAAATCAATGTTTATTTGCATGACGTATGTAGCAGAGCTCTCTTTTTGTCATATTGTAGCAGTGTTGTAGCTAGGTTAATGGCAACAATACAATCGCCTGTTGGCTAACTGGAATGCAGTTTCATATGGTTTGTTGGGAAATAACGTCACTACCATTTACCAGTTCCTGGAATACGATGTAAATGGAACGCAGCATGAGAGGAAGGGGTTACATATTTTAGCTTGCAGAAATGTTTTGTTTACAATTTATTTAAAAAAATGTCAACAAAGTCTTATCTAACCAGCCTTACAAGTTGGAGCCAGAGTCTGACCCAGAATGTGAGGAGAATTAAGATGAGGAAATTGTAGTTGGTAAGTCCACACCCAAGTTGGCAATTATGTCACAGATAATCTGATGTAATAGCTCAGAAAACGTTATAGCAAATAGAGAAAATTGAACGGGCTCAAAAATATGACCCAAACAGATTATAAAGGTATATTTGCAGCACCAGGAGAGACTAAATTCAACCCCTAGAGACTTCAGTTCTACAACAAAATGTATTTAACAGCTACAAAAGTGGAATTTGCATGATATGTCTACTTTAGGAGATTCCACCTGTAAAATATTCCATTTTGTTTTTTCCTTTACATTGGAATGTCCAAACAGTTTATTCAGGGGTAAACATGCTTGCGTTGGATAGTGAGGAGATCAAGTGCCCCCATTTACACACGTGTCAGTTTCAGATCAACTCAAAATCAGCACTTTACACCTCTATCAAGCAATATAATCAGTCGATCCTTACGAGCATAACACTAACTTTACGTAGAATCTGGATATCTCTCCATTTTATGTTTCCACACATGAGACATAAATGCAGGTGTTTTGCATGTGTGCGTCTATGCGAGGGGAGGGAAAGAGAGCAACCAGGCTCTCCTCATAGACGTGGCTTGCATGCCCACTGAAGGGGAGATGATGTAGAACCGTGGCGGAAGTGTCCACATCTGCGCCAGTCAAGCTGCGTCTGTCCTTCACGACTGGCTGCACAGGACCATCCTTTCAAACGCTCATCCACCCCTCCCTTTCTCCACCGCCTGTCTCTCCTCTAACATTCCCATGCTCTGAAGTATAGGCAATGGCATCAAGCTGGACTGTTTGCCATCACTCAACCTGGCGACAGCAGAGTCCCCCTGCTGTTAATGTTCCTATACTGCCTTCTGATGTGATATTTAAATATGTCTAAACACATATGAAATATGCATGCGTGTCTACATTTTCTACATGACAAACAACAGAAGCTCTGGTTGAGCACAAAGGAAAGCAGGGACGTTAGCTTTCATCTCTTAAAAGAAACTGAGGCATCGGGTCTTACCTCCTCGACCGAAATTACTCAGGTCATTTGGTCCCCCCGAGTTGCTGTTGACAGGAAGGCTGGTCGCCGGCCAAGAGTCTGCTAACCAGGGGTAGCCTGGGTCACTGGCGTTGAGCAAGCCCGGCCGGCTGAACAGAAACACAGGTTGAAATATACGATTAAAAAAACAAACGAAAAAAAGGACAGAACTGCATTACTGCAAGAGTTATTTATTTAAAAGATGGTTTAATTCTGCATTTCTCCTTGCATTCTCAGGAAACAGAAATATGTAATTGTGATAAAATACACGTTTAAACATTAATGTGTCCACAATAACGTGTGGCTGTATGAGATAAGCTCGCCACGAGCTCCTAAACCAAATTAAACACTTCTGAGGAAACAGAGCACAGATACAGCTTCTCTTTCACAAAGTCAAAATTCCTTCAGGCAAACGCAGCCCTTTATTTCTCTCTTTCTCCTGCTGTGCCTTTGTCACATTCATTCAGCTATTTATGCATAAGCACACTGCAGAGACACATGCTTTGGCCTTCCACACACATGCTGGCAGTCACAAGGATAAAACTCTGTATTCGTTAATATCTTTTACACAGTGCCTTGTTTTCCCATTAACCCCTTGTGGTGATGTCCAGACAGTTTAAATCTGTGTCTGATGAGGACCCAAACCTCTGGCCACGTCCCCACCCTGATGGTTGTGGGACGCCTGCACGTGGGAGTGGGCAGTACCGTTTAACAGGTGCCGTGTCCCTCCTATGTGGGCGAGAACCGTAAAAGCAGTCATCAAGATTTGAACTTGTCATGGGTGACTGCTGGCAGGGCCATTAGGGACACATCTCTGTACAATAACCTATAAGGCTTGTTAGCATGGCGAAAATAAGGATGACTTTGTGTACATGCTTGTTTATAAAGAAGGCATTTGCCAACAAAATGAATTGAAATGCAAACAAAATTAAGTGCTACCATCAACCATACGTCTAGCCCGTTTGAGCAGTCTGTCACATAAAATATTAAAAGTGTGCACAGCATACTCGTCCGCCGCGTGAAGCATACTACTGAAATATATACACTGCGAGAAGCTTTGCAGCACAGTTGTTTCCAGCCTGGCTGTCTGATGGGGCTTATTGTCTGAGCTCCAGAGTGGTGATGTGTCGGCTCTGAGGGACTAGGAGAGAGTCGAGCCCTGAGGACAGGGCCAGGTAATGGGTGTGCTGCAGTCCCTCGCTGCCTCGGCTACTGGTTCTAATGAGAAAAGCTGCTCCACAAAAGGGAGGAGTCCAAATGAACTGCGGTGCTGGCCGAGCTAAGAGCCCTTGCTGTGGTTCCTGAATGCCAAAGCAGGCCCTCGGGGGAGACAAGTCATTCAAATTGATGGTTGTGCATCAGACACATGCACTTTTATAGGGCAATACATCTCTCCCTGTACTTCTACCTCTGTTTCTGGCTGACATGTTACACCGCTACCATCATTCTTTCTTACCATACCATATTTTCCTAACCCTATTTTCCTTTATTTTTCCCTCTAAACAACTTCACCCCTTATTTCTCATCTTCCCCTTTCCGCTTGTGCACTTAACATCAGTCATGCTG